AAAGTTTTGAGCTTGTGCCGCATCTCACGCTCCATCTGCGGGGAAAACACACCCAAAATGGGCAAAAATTAACCCAAAACGGGCAAAAATGAGCCAAAAATGGGCAAAAATGAGCCAAAAATGGGCAAAAATGACCCAAAATGGGCAAAAATTAACCCAAAACGGGCAGAAATTAACCCAAAATGGACAGAAATCAGTCCAAAACAGGTAAAAATGAGCCCAAAACAGGCAGAAATCAGCCCAAAATGGGCAGAAATGAGCCCAAAATGGGCAAAAATGAGCCAAAAATGGGCAGAAATGAACCCAAAACGGGCACAAATCAGTCCAAAACGGGTAAAAATGAGCCAAAACAGGCAGAAATGAGCCAAAAATGGGCAGAAATGAACCCAAAACAGGTAAAAATGAACACAAAAAGGGCAAAAATGAATCCAAAAAGGGCAGAATTGAGCCCAAAATGCACATTTCCTCCTGTTTTCTGCCATTTTTCCCCCATTTTTTTGCCCCTTTTTCCATTTTCCCCCATTTTTGGCCATTTTTCCCCGTTTTTCGTTTCCCGTTTTTTCCCATTTTCCCGGTTTTTCACCCCGTTTTTACCCCACCTGCTCGGCGTAGAGGTCGTCCCTGTGGTGCCTGTGCTGGTGCTTGCCCAGCTCCAGGGCCCCTTTTCCCCCATTTTTGATCATTTTTTCCCCGTTTTTTGGCCATTTTTGGTCCGTTTTTCCCCGTTTTTTCATTTTTTTCCCATTTTCCCGGTTTTTCACCCCATTTTTCACTCACCTGCTCAGCGTAGAGCTCGTCCCTGTCGTGCATGTGCTGGTGCTTGCCCAGCTCCAGGGCCCCTTTTCCCCCATTTTTGGTCATTTTTGGCCATTTTTTGTCCGTTTTTCACCGTTTTTTCGTTTTTTTTCCCGTTTTTTCCCATTTTCCCGGTTTTTCACCCCATTTTTCACTCACCTGCTCAGCGTAGAGCTCGTCCCTGTCGTGCATGTGCTGGTGCTTGCCCAGCTCCAGGGCCCCTTTTTCCCCATTTTTGGCCATTTGGTCGTTTTGACCATTTTTCGACCGTTTTTCCGTTTATCATTTTTTTCCCCGTTTTTTCCCATTTTCCCGGTTTTTTGCCCCACCTGCTCAGCGTAGAGGTTGTCCCTGTCGTGCCTGTGCTGGTGCTTGCCCAGCTCCAGGGCCCCTTTTCCCCCATTTTTGTCCATTTTTGGCCGTTTTTGGTCATTTTTGGCCATTTTTTTCCCGCTTTTCGTTTTTCCCGTTTTTCCCATTTTCCCAGTTTTTTGCCCCACCTGCTCGGCGTAGAGGTCGTCCCTGTCGTGCATGTGCTGGTGCTTGCCCAGCTCCAGGGCCCCTTTTCCCCCATTTTTGGCCGTTTTTTGGCCATTTTTTGGCCGTTTTTCACCATTTTTTCACCGTTTTTTCCCATTTTTTCGTTTTTTTTCCCGTTTTTTCCCATTTTCCCGGTTTTTTACCCCACCTGCTCAGCGTAGAGGTTGTCCCTGTCGTGCATGTGCTGGTGCTTGCCCAGGTCCGTGGTGATCTCGCCCACCTCGGTGTAGAACTGCACGTCCGTGTGGCGCTTCTTGCCGAACATGATGGCGTTCTGGGGGGCACCCAAAAACGCCCCAATTACACCCAAAAATCCAGCGATTTCAGCCCAAAAATCCACAGATTTTGGGCCCAAAAATACAGGGATTTCACCCCAAAAATCCAGGGACTTCAGCCCCAAATTTCACCCAGGGATTTCATCCCCAAAATCCACGTGATGCCGTTCTGGGGGGCACCCAAAAACGCCCCAATTACACCCAAAAATCCAGGGAGTTCAGCCCCAAAAATCCACAGACTTCACCCCAAAAATCCAGGGATTTCAGCCCCAAAAATCCAGGGATTTCAGCTCCAAATTTACTCAGGGATTTCATACCCAAAATCCACGTGATGGCGTTCTGGGGGGCACCCAAAAACGCCCCAATTATACCCAAAAATCCAGCGATTTCAGCCCAAAAATCCAAGGATTTCACCCCAAAAATCCAGGCATTTCACCCCAAAAAACCCACAGATTTCAGCTCCAAAATCCAGGGATTTCAGCTCCAAATTTCACTCAGGGATTTCAGTCCCAAAATCCACGTGATGGCGTTCTGGGGGGCATCCAAAAACCCCACATTTACACCCAAAAATCCAGCGATTTCAGACCCAAAAATATAGGGATTTTACCCCAAAAATCCAGGGATTTCAACCCCAAATTTCACTCATGGATTTCATCCCCAAAATCCACAGATTTCACCTCAAAAATCCAGGGATTTCAGCCCCAAAAATCCAGGGATTTCACCCCAAAAATCCCCCAAATTTCACCCCAAAAAATCCAGGGATTTCAGCCCAAAACCCCCCAGATCTCACCCCCAAATTTCACTCAGGGATTTCACCCCAAAATCCAAGGATTTCAGCCCCAAAAAATCCAGGGATTTCAGCCCAAAAATCCAGGGATTTCACCCCAAAAATTCAGGGATTTTACCCCAAAAATTCAGGGATTTCACCCCCAAAAATTCAGGGATTTTTACCCCAAAAATCCAGGGATTTCACCCCCAAAAATCCAGAAATTTCACCCCAAAACCACCTCAGATTTCACTCAGGGATTTCACCTCCAAAATCCAGGGATTTCACTCCCAAAAATTCAGGGATTTCACCCCAAAAACCCAGGGATTTCACCCCCAAAATCCAGGGATTTGACCTCAAAAATCCCCGTTTTTTGCCCCAAACCCCTTTTTTGCCCCCAAATCGCCATTTTTTTTCCCAAAACGGGCGTTTTTGGCCCCAAACCTTGAGGTGGAAGTGCAGCACGATGATCATCAGGGTTTGACCCCAAACCCAGGAGGGTTTTTTGCCCCCAAAATCCCCATTTTTTGCCCAAAATCCCCGTTTTTCGCCCCAAACCCCTTTTTTGACCCAAAATCCCCGTTTATTTTCCCAAAATGGCCGTTTTTTGCCCCAAACCTTGAGGTGGAAGTGCAGCACGATGACCATCTCCCCACCCCAGTGTTTGACCCCAAACCCAGGAGGGTTTTTTGACCCCAAATCCCCGTTTTTTACCCCAAATCCCTTTTTTTCCCAAAATCGCCGTTTTTTTGCCCAAAATCGCCGTTTTTTGCCCCAAACCTTGAGGTGGAAGTGCAGCACGATGATCATCAGGGTTTGACCCCAAACCCAGGAGGGTTTTTTTTGCCCCAAAATCCCCGTTTTTTTCCCCAAAATCTGTTTTTTTCCCAAAATCGCTGTTTTTTTTCCCCAAATCTCTGTTTTTTGCCCCAAACCTTGAGGTGGAAGTGCAGCACGATGATCACCAGGGTTTGACCCCAAACCCAGGAGGGTTTTTTTTGCCCCCAAATCCCCGTTTTTTTCCCCAAATCAGTTTTTTTTCCCAAAATCCCCATTTTTTTTCCCAAAATCCCCGTTTATTTTCCCAAAATGGCTGTTTTTTGCCCCAAACCTTGAGGTGGAAGTGCAGCACGATGATCATCTCGCCGTCACAGGGCTGGAACACGGCGTGTTTGATGTTGTTGTACAGGATGTCCACCTTGTCCCCCCGCACCGACGTGAAACGGAACCCTGGGGGGGGAAACACCCCAAAAAATGGGGAAATTATCCCAAAAAACGGGAAAATTACCTCAAAAAACAGGAAAATTACCCCAAAAACTGGGAGAATTACCACAAAAAATCCCAAAAAACAGGAAAATTACCCCAAAAACCAGGAAAATTACCCCAAAAAATCCCAAAAAACAGGAAAATTACCCCAAAAACCAGGAAAATTACCCCAAAAACACCCAGAAAACAGGAAAATTACCCCAGAAAACCCCAAAAAACAGGAGAATGACCCCAAAAAACCTCTAAAAAACCCAAAAAAACCCCCAAAACCCCCCAAAACCAGGAAATGACCCCAAAAAACCTCCAATAAAACCCAAAAAACGGGAGAATGACCCCAAACCCCCCCAATTGACCCCAAAGCCCCTGAACTGACCCCAAATCCCCCCAAATGACCCCAAATTGACCCCAAATCCCCCCAAATGACCCCAAATCCCCCTGAACTGACCCCAAATCCCCTGAATTGACCCCAAATCCCCCCAATTGACCCCAAACTGACCCCAAATCCACCAGAATTCACCCCAAATCCCCGGAAATGACCCAAAATGCTCCAAATTTTCCCCAAATTTTCCCAAAATCCCCTGATTTCACCCCAAATTTGGGCTCACCATTGACATGTGCCTCGAGGGCCCCCTGCATCCTCTTCCAGGGGACCCCAAACCCCCTGAACTGACCCCAAATCCCCCCAAATCCCCCCCAAATGACCCCAAAACTCCCAAAATGACCCAAAATGCCCCAAATTTTCCCCAAATTTTCCCAAAATCCCCTGATTTCACCCCAAATACCGTTGACATGAGCCTCGAGGGCCCCCTGCATCCTCTTCCAGGGGACCCCAAACCCCCTGAACTGACCCCCAAACCCCTGAATTCACCCCAAATCCCCCAGAATTCACCCCAAAACCCCAAAATGACCCAAAATGCCCCAAATTTTCCCAAAATCCCGTGATTTCACCCCAAATTTGGGGCTCACCGTTGACATGAGCCTCGAGGGCCCCCTGCATCCTCTCCCAGGGGACCCCAAACCCCCTGAAATGACCCCAAATCCTCCCCAATTGACCCCAAATCCCCCCAAATCCCCCCCAAATGACCCCAAATCCCCCAGAATTGACCCCAAATCCCCGGAAATGACCCAAAAACCCCCAAATTTTCCCCAAATTTTCCCAAAATCCCCGGATTTCACCCCAAATCTGGGGCTCACCGTTGACATGAGCCTCGAGGGCCCCCTGCATCCTCTTCCAGGGGACCCCAAACCCCCTGAACTGACCCCAAATCCCCCAATTCACCCCAAATCCCCCTGAACTGACCCCAAACCCCCAGATTTCACCCCAAACCCCCCAAATTTTCCCAAAATGCCCGGATTTCACCCCAAATACCGTTGACATGAGCCTCGAGGGCCCCCTGCATCCTCTTCCAGGGGACCCCAAACCCCCTGAACTGACCCCAAATCCCCCCCAATTCACCCCAAATCCCCCTGAATTCACCCCAAATCCCCCAAAATGACCCAAAATGCCCCAAATTTTCCCAAAATCCCCTGATTTCACCCCAAATACCATTGACATGAGCCTCTAGGGCCCCCTGCATCCTCTTCTGGGCAATGTTGGGCCGGATGTAAAGGTCCTTCAGTTTGGGGTTGCTGCGGTTCAGGTTGATCACCAGAGAGTCCTGCTTGACGATCCCCTGCAAACAGAGCCAGAAATGGGTGAAAAAACCACAGAAATGGGTAAAAAAAGTTTAAAAATGGGTTGGGAGAGCCCAAAAATGGGCAAAGAGAGCCCAAAAATGGTAAAGAGAGCCCAAAAATGGGTAAAAAGAGCCCAAAAATGGGTAAAGAGACCCCAAAAACGGGCAGAGAGACCCCAAAAACCACAGAGAGACCCCAAAAATGAGGAGACCACAAAAATGGGCAGAGAGAGCCCAAAAATGGGCAAACTGAGCCCAAAAACCACAGAGAGACCCCACAAAAACAAACCAAAGCAAAACAAAAACTTAAAAAAACCAAAAACACCAAAAAACCCCCCAAAAAACCCCAAAAAACCAAAAAAAAACCCCCAAAAAAAAGAAAAAAAAAAGAAAAAAAAAAAGCAAACCAAAAAAAACCCCCAAAATCCCTTGAAACGCCCCCAAATCCCCACCTCCTTCTCCTTCTCCTTGGCCTCCGGGTCTTGTAGCGTCTCCCCAAAACCACCCCCAAGACACCCCAAAATCCCCCAGAAGCCCACAAAGGGGCCACAAAAGCCCCACAAAAACAAAACAAAAGGCCCCAGAAAAAGACAAACAAAAAACCAAAAAGAAAAAAACACAAAGGCCCACAGAAAACAAGACCAACCAAACAAAAGCCCCAGAAAGAGAAAAAACACAAAAAGGAAAAAAACCCACAAAAAATCCACAAAAACCAAAACCAAACCAAAAAAAGAAAACAGAAAAACAAAACAAAACAAAAAACCAGAAAGAAAACGAAAAAAACAACCAGAAAAAGAAAAAAAAATCACAAAAAACCACAAAACCAAAACCAAACCCAAAACAAAAACTTAATAAAAAGGTGAAAAACCAAAAAAACCCCCAAAAAACCCCATAAAAAAAGCCAAAAAAAGGACAAAAAAAAAAAAAAGGAAAAACACCAACCAAAAAGACTCCAAAAATTCCACAAAACCCCAAATGCCCTTAAGTCGTCACCTCCTTCTCCTTCTCCTCGGCCTCGCGGGTCTTGTAGCGCTTCCCCAAAACCACCCCCAAATCCACCCCAAAATCCCCCCAAAATGCCCCGAAATCCCTTGAAATTCCCCCAAAGAGGCACCTCCTTCTCCTTCTCCCCAAAACCACCCCCAAAGCCCCCAAAAAAGCCCAGAAAAACCCCACAAAACCAAACCAAAACAAACCCCACAAAAACAAAACAAAAAACCAGAAAAAAACAAAAACAAAAACAAACCAAAAAAAAGAAAAAAAAATCACAAAAAACCACAAAACCAAACCAAAAACTTAATAAAAATAAATAAATAGATAAATAAAAAACACAAAAAACCCAAAAAAACTCAGAAAAAAACCCCAACAAAAAGAAAAAAAAAGGAAAAAAAAACCCAAAAAAACCCCCAAAAAAAACCCCAAAAAAAGAAAGAAAATGAAAAAAAAAAAGCAACCAAAAGAAACCCCCAAAATGCCCCAAAAAGGCACCTCCTTCTCCTTCTCCTCGGCCTCGCGGGTCTTGTAGCGCTTCCCCAAAACCACCCCCAAAACCACCCAAAACCACCCCAAAATCCCCCCAAATTTCTCCAAATCTCCCTCAAATCCCCCCAAATCTCCCTCAAAATGCCCCAAAATCCCCCCAAAACGCCCCCAAAATCCCCACCTCCTTCTCCCCAAAACCACCCTCAGAAAAACCCCAAAATTCCCCCCAAAATCCCCCAAAAAAACCCAGAAAAAATCCAAAAAAAAAGAAAAAAAAAAAGAAAAAAACCCAACCAAAAAAAACCCCCCAAAATTCCAAAAAAACCCCAAAATTCCCCCCAAAAACCCCCCAAAATCCCCCCAAGTCGTCACCTCCTTCTCCTTCTCCTCGGCCTCGCGGGTCTTGTAGCGCTTCTGCACCTCCTTGATGATGCGGAACGAGTTCTGCAGGTTGGACGCCGGCACCGTCTGCTCCCCGGGGGGCTTCAGGTTGGACGCTCTGTAGGTGCTGCAAAACGGGGCAAAAAAGGGTAAAAAACAGCCCAGGGGATCCAGGGGGACCAAAAAATTGGGGGGGGACGGAAAAACTGAGAGGGAGAATTATAATAATGAAAAAAAACGGCACAAAAATAACAAAAAATAACAAAAAAACCGCCGAAAAAATAACGAAAAAAACACCTAAAAAATATCCAAAAAATCACCCCAAAACAACCCAAAAAAAAACCACAAAAAAAGACCTCGAGGAGCCACAAAAATAACCAAAAATAACAAAAAGACCCACCCAAAAATAACGAAAAAAAAAAGTCAAAAAATAACAAAAAAAACCACAAAAAAAGACCTCGAGGAGCCACAAGAATAACCAAAAAAAAATCACAGAAAAAGACCTTGAGGAACCCAAAAAATAACCAAAAAAAACACCATAAAAAAAGACCTCGGGGAGCCCCAAAAATAACAAAAAAAAAAACCCTCAAAAATAAAGAAAAACCACCCCAAAAATAAGCAGAAAAACCCCTCAAAAATAATGAAAAACCACCCCAAAATAACAAGAAGAACCCCCAAAACCCCTCAGATTGACCCCAAAGGCGCCATATTTAATGTAGACCCTACAAAAACAGGGTACCCACATCTCCTTGACGAAGGTGGCCTCGGGGTTGGGGAAGAGCCCCCAAAACCCCCGGGATTGACCCCAAACCCCAAAATCCCTCAGATTGACCCCAAACCCCCCAGGATTGATCCCAAAGCTGCCATATTTAATGTAGGTCCTACAGAAATGTGTACCCACATCTCCTTGACGAAGGTGGCCTCGGGGTTGGGGAAGAGCCCCCAAAACCCCCGGGATTGACCCCAAATGACCAAATAAAAACCCCAAACCCCCGGGATTGATCCCAAACCCTCCATAATTAATGTAGGTCCTACAAAAACAAGATATCTAACATCTCCTTGACGAAGGTGGCCTCGGGGTTGGGGAAGAGCCCCCAAAACCCCCGGGATTGACCCCAAATGACCAAATAAAAACCCCAAATGACCAAATAAAAACCCCAAATGACCAAATAAAAACCCCAAAACCCCCGGGATTAACCCCAAATGACCAAATAAAAACCCCAAATAACCAAATAAAAACCCCAAAACCCCTCAGATTGATCCCAAACCCCCCATAATTAATGTAGGTCCTACAAAAACAAGATATCTACATCTCCTTGACGAAGGTGGCCTCAGGGTTGGGGAAGAGCCCCCAAAACCCCCGGGATTGACCCCAAATGACCAAATAAAAACCCCAAATGACCAAATAAAAACCCCAAAATGACCAAATAAAAACCCAAAACCCTCCATAATTAATGTAGACCCTACAAAAACAAGGTACCCACATCTCCTTGACGAAGGTGGCCTCGGGGTTGGGGAAGAGCCCCCAAAACCCCTCAGATTGACCCCAAATGACCAAATAAAAACCCCAAAACCCCCGGGATTGATCCCAAACCCTCCATATTTAAAGTAGACCCTACAAAAACAAGGTACCCACATCTCCTTGACGAAGGTGGCCTCGGGGTTGGGGAAGATGTTGCCCTCGTTGCGCCCCAGGGCGCTGCCCGGGCAGAAGAAGTTGATGCGCAGGTAGGTGTAGTCCCCTCCACCGACATGCTGATGTTCTGGGGAGGGGAAAATACACCAAAATCAGTGATTTATACCCAAAAATGAGAAATTTCTAATGAAAATGAGTCATTTATACCCAAAAATCAGTCATTTCTACCCAAAAATCAGTCATTTCCACCCGAAAATCAGTAATTTCTACCCAAAAATCAGTAATTTCCACCCAAAACCGAGGCATTGACACAAAAAACTGAGCAATTTACACCCAAAACCCAGTCATTTCTACCCAAAAACAAGACATTGACACCCAAAAATGAGATATTGACACCCAAAAACGAGCGATTTCTACCCAGAAATGAGTCATTTCTACCCAAAAATCAGTAATTTCTACCGAAAATGAGTCATTGACACCCAAAAACAAGACATTGACACCTGAAAATGAGTGATTTACACCCAAAAATCAATCATTTCTACCAAAAATTAGTCATTGACACCCAAAAATCAGTCATTTCTAACGAAAATGAGTAATTTCCACCCAAAAACGAGACATTGACACCCGAAAATGAGGCATTTACACCCCAAAATGAGTAATTTCCACCCAAAAATGAGTGATTTACACCCAAAAATGAGTGATTTACACCCAAAAACCAGTCATTTCTACCGAAAATGAGCAATTTACACCCAAAAATCAGTAATTTCTAACGAAAATCAGCGATTTACACCCGAAAATGAATAATTTACACCCGAAATTGAGTAATTTCCACCCGAAAATGAGTGATTTACACCCAAAAATGAGACATTGGTGTGGATTTTGGGGTGACTCAGAGAGGATTTTGGGGTGACTCAGATGAGGATTTTTGTGGTGAACCAGGTGGGATTTTGGGGTGACTCAGATGGGATTTTGGGGATTTTTGGGGCAAACCAGGTGGGATTTTTTGGGTTACACCCCCTGACCTTGATGGTGGCGATGTGGAAGGGCGTGGCGATGCCGAAGACGGGCACGATGATTTTGGGGTGAACCAGGTGGGATTTTGGGGTGACTCAGATGGGATTTTGGGGATTTTTGGGGCCAACCAGGTGGGATTTTGGGGTGACTCAGATGGGATTTTGGGGTGACTCAAATGGGGATTTTGGGGTGACTCAGATTGGATTCTTGGGGCAAACCAGGTGGGATTTTTGGGGTGACTCAGATGGGGATTTTGGGGTGACTCAGATGAGGACTTTTAGGTGACTCAGGTGGGGATTTTGGGGTGAACCAGGTGGGGATTTTGGGGTGAACCAGGTGAGATTTTGGGTGGGGATTTTGGGGTGACTCAGATGGGATTTTGGGTGGGGATTTTGGGGCGAACCAGGTGGGATTTTGGGGATTTTTTGGGGTGACTCAGATGGGATTTTGAGGGTGAACCAGGTGGGGATTTTGGGGTGACTCAGATGGGGATTTTGGGGTGACTCAGATGGGGATTTTGGGGTGACTCAGATGGGATTTTGGGGTGATTCAGAGGAGATTTTGGGTGGAGATTTTTGGGGTGACTCAGATGGGATTTTGGGTGGGGATTT